GATTGATGAAGCATCTGGATTTTGTTTTTTTACTTAAGAGATGAGCTATGGGGAGAAGAGAGATTATACTGTATTTAGAGATAGTGATAAGCAATTAAAATTGTCTTTACTTGCTGGGATGAAGGGGGAAGTTACTTCTTTTTTCTTTTTCTTTTTCTTTTTCTTTTTTTCTTTTCTTTCTTTTTACTTTTCCACACCCCCTTTTTTCTTTTGTATTTTTCTGTTTGTATTTTCTGTACTTTGCATTGGCTCTTATTCTTTTCATTTATAATTCTTAACAAAATTATTTGAAAAAAAAAATCTAAATTGCTTTACAACCCCCAGTGGAAGAAAAGAACAGTTTAAACCTAAAGTTCCCAATTGCCTCATTCATTACAATCTTCAGCTGCCAGATTATAGATCTCTTTTAAGGATGGTCACCGCCTGCCAAAATGTTGCCAGCCCTGCATCAGCCTGATGCAGCCAGGCATTTTTAGATATTGAAAGTAAATTGATGCTCAATGATTGATTGATTGATTGATAAAATGCCATCATGTTATTTTCGACTCCTAGCGACCACATAGATAGATCTTCTCCACTCATCGCCACTGTAACTGAGTCCATCCACCTTGCTGCTGGTCATTCTCTTCTTCTCTTTTCTTCCACCTTTCCCAGCATTGGAGCCTTCTCCAGAGAGCTGGGTCTTCGTGTAATGTGTCCAAAGTAGCATAATTTGGGTCTGGTCATTTGTGCCTTGAGTGAAAACTCTGGGTTGATTTGTTCAATGATCTATCAATTTGTTTTCTTGGCTGACTATGGTATTCTCAGGAGTCTTCTCCAACCCCAAAGTTCAAAAGCATCAATATTCTTCCTATCCTGTTTCTTTAAAGTCCAACTTTTGCTTCCATAGAGTGTCACAGGGAAGACCATGGCTTGCACGATTCTGATCTCTGTAGGTATAGATACATTACGGCATTTGAATATCTTTTCCAAGGCCTTCATGGCTGCAGCGTATTTCTTGACTGG